AATGGTCAGGGGTCCCTTTACCTTTATCTGTCAGGCATTCTTTAGTTACAATTCCTGTATTGCAGGGGTTGAACTGGTTTTCCCTTCCAACTCCACAATTCTATGATTCTGTTTTTTTCTAAGCCATCCCATTCATCATCCCATTCCTGGGACTCCCCTGTACAGCTGCAAATAAAACGTTTTAAATGTTTTGTAAAGTGCAATATACAAATGTGACACTAGATTTTTTTTAAAAAGCATTTTCACAGCATTTTTTTAAATGTGTGTAGATTCCACCCTGGTCTTAAATGCAAAATAAAACAAAATTATACAGTTCTATCCAACTAAGTTCTACTTAGAGAGGAGCTGATGAAATTAATGGACCTATGTTAGTCAGGCTCATTAATTCAACAGATTGGAATTAACACTGGATGCAATCTATAGCCATCATCTCCGCCTTCCCAACCCAAGCCAGAAAGGAATTCTCACCTGGAAAATATCTGTCCTGTCTGAGAAGCTGGGATTCCATCCATAGTTTGGACCTCGATAGCAATTGGCTTGTTGCAAATGGCTTTTGGGTAGTCCTTTTTGAGGTAGTATATCAGCTCATAGCCATTTAGTAAGGAGCCTGAGGCACCAATCAGTCTTTGTGGGCCCTCATGCTACTGACATTTCCATAGAATCATAGGATTGTGGAGTTGGAAGGGACTCCAAAGCTCATCTGGTCCCTTCCTGCATTGCAGGAGTCACAGCTAAAAAAATCCCTGACAGATGGCCATCTAACCTCTGTATAGAAACTTCCAATGAAGGAGAATCCATTACCTTTTACGGGAGTCAATTCCACTGTCATTCAGCTCTGCACTGTGTTGCCAGGTGGCATGACTGAGCTGAATGGGCTTAAGACCAAACCTAACCCCCCCCCATCTCTGTCAATTTCTTTTTGGAAATTGACACTGGCTTTGGCTCAGCCAGCTGAGCAAGTTACGTACATCGGCATATTGTTGGCTGAGCCAGGGTTGGGGGCTTAGCACCAGTGGAGATCCGCAGCACCTTTAATTCCTTGTCACAGGATTAGCCCCCCACCCCAACCTATTATTTATACTATACCATCAATGGCCAGAGCCGATGACAGGCAGAATGACAGAATCGTAGAGTTGGAAGGAATCCTAAAGGTAAAGGTAAAGGTACCCCTGCCCGTACGGGCCAGTCTTGACAGACTCTGGGGTTGTGCGCCCATCTCACTCAAGAGGCCAGGGGCCAGCGCTGTCCGAAGACACTTCCGGGTCACGTGGCCAGCGTGACGTCGCTGCTCTGGCGAGCCAGAGCCGCACACGGAAACGCCGTTTACCTTCTCGCTAGAAAGCGGTCCCTATTTATCTACTTACACCCAGGGGTGCTTTCGAACTGCTAGGTTGGCAGGCGCTGGGACCGAGCAGCGGGAGCGCACCCCGCCAAGGGGATTTGAACCGCCAACCTTTCAATCGGCAAGCCCTAGGCGCTGAGGCTTTTACCCACAGCGCCACCCGCGTCCCTCAATCCTGTGCAATGTAGGAATCTCAGCTGAAGCATCCAAGACAGATGGCCACCCAACTTCTGCTTAAAAACCTCCAACAAGTTCTATGAATTCTAATTTTGGCCTCCTCCTCCTCCTCCTCCTCCTACCTGATGTGTTCTACAAGGAGCAACAGCTCCCAAGGAAGCACTGACAGCCATGGTAACTCTCCGGACTGAATATGCAACAACAATATTCTTTATTTCGGTCCAATGACCCACAAAACATTTTCTTTTCTAAAATATTTTTTATTAGGGATTTCAAAATAACAATTTAACAAAAATACATTCTCCACATTTCCCCCCTCCATTTTTCCCTCCCACCCTGAAAAAGAAAAACCCACCCTCCCACCCACAGACTTCCCTCAGCTCCTCTCTCTTGTTTCTCAGCACATGTTATTCTCTGCATGTTATAAAATTGTAAAGATCCTCAATTTATCTATCTGTATGTTGCCAATAAAGTATTTGTGAGAGTTTATTCAAAACCTGCCAAGGAGTCCAGTTCATTTTGTTGTTTCTTTCAATACTTCGTAAAAGGTTCCCATTCTTCTTTAAAGTCACAGTTATCCTTGTCACGTAGTTGATGTGTCAATTTCGCCAGTTCTGCATAGTCCATCAATTTCTCTTGCCACAGTTCTTTAGTCAGGATTTCCTCATTCTTCCATCCTTGTGCTATTAAGACTCTTGCCGCCGTTGTTGCATACATGATTGATGAGTACTGGAGAC